TTATGAGTGACATAAGAAATAAAATTATGTACATATTTAGAAACTATACGATCCTTGATGAGTTTGTTTAACCTGAATTTTATTATCACGTATTGTGTGACTACCATTAGAAACCTATCAGAACAATTCATGAAATATATAAAGTAAGGAAAATGCATATTTGTTTTAAGTGTAACTGAAGAATAGCTATTCATTACAAGAAGTAAAGTCAGTAAACTGGAAACGGATATACTCAGAAAATGGAAAGTCGGGGACGGACCTCCTCTGTGGGACCGGGCCTTCGCAACTACAAATTGATGTTTATTATTATTGATGTTGTCGTTGTTGCAGTTATTATTGCCATCGTTGTTGTTTTGCTGTTATAGTTACTATAGGTTTTATCTATAATGCCATTACTTGCAATTATTTCAAGTCCTGAATTATGGGTGATAACATCATGGTCCCCAAAATAACTTTTTTACTGCATTTGTTTAAGTTACTGAATTGAATTCCGCATTCCTACCATGCTCTCTTAGTATTGTTAGTTATTTTTTACATGGTGGTGATGTTGGCCATTATTATGGTAAAGGATAATCCAGTAATGATAATGAGAATAATAAAGGATAATAATAATAAAAATGACAATGATAATAGCAAATGCAATGATAAAGGTAATAAAAACCGTACGTTCATATTGAGCTGAATTAATTACGTCGACTATTCCTGCTACATTTCGGCAGTTGATATCGACAGGAATCTCATGATACCTGATGGGTTGGCAGATGGCTGGTTCTAGAAAAAAGCTATCCATGCTTATATCAATAGTTTCTATAATTATTGTTATAAGGATAACATCAAAAGTAATAACAACAACAACAACAATAATAATGATTATAATAATAATGAGAGAATAATAAAAATAATTATATTATTATTATTATTTTTATTGTCATTATTATTATTATTATTATCATTATTATTATTGATATTATTATTATTGTTATTATTGTCATTATTATCATTATTATTGTTATTATTATTATTATTATTATTATCATAATTATTATTATTATTATTATTATTATTACTATTACTTTTACTATTGTCATTATCATCATCATATATCATTAAAACTAAACAAAAGAGATGGTAATAGTTAAGTACTAATGGAGCTTTATTCGAAGGATCACTTGCTGCCTACCAAAATGTTTACAAATTCGAAAGTATTGCTCTGGTAGAACTATGGACTAAGTGTATCCATCTAATTGCCTTTTGATACATCTCCAAAGCACATGTAGTATATTTATTTTTCATGTAAAGTCTTGTTTCTTATTAAAAAGTAATCATAGACTCTCATACGAGTTTAATAAAGATAATTGTTAGTCGTGTAAAGAAATTCAAACGATCATTTATCCATCATTTATCAGTGTTGCCTTTGATGTCAACTCTATTACGTTTTATTGATTATCTTAAGCCCAAAAATAAATGTTATATCTTTCTGTAGTTTTATTCCATTATCACATCCGTTTCATTATAAAATATCTATTAAATACTCCTTAAATGGCCAAACGATGAGTTACAAAAATAAGTATTACCATTTAACGAATTCGTCGAGGGATCGCGCATGCGTGTTGGCGAGCTGAAGGGACGGGTTGGCAATATCATGATTGTTGTTGACATATTATTACCTATAATATTTGTATTAGTGTTATTGTTATTATTATTAACTCTATTACTATACTATCATATTTTCTTTAATCGATGTAACATTATTATTCTCTTATTATAGTTATAGGTACGATCGTCACAATGACACATATAAGAAACATTATAATAATAACTGCTATCATCCTGATGATAATTATTACTTTTAGCTTCGTTAATATCTCTGTTATTATCATTGTCATCTTTACCTTCGTTGTTATTATAATAAGGCTTCATTGTCATTGATATTGTCCTCTTCATTGTCATCAATGCCCAAAGTTTTCCACAGTCAGGTATGTCTGAGAGTTTTGTGTACGCGGTTAGGACGTCATCAATATACTTCATAATAACGGGTTTTCTTTTCTTCAGTCCGTCGACAATAATAATCGTATATTTGTTTTGCTTATTGCTAAAGCCACTTACTTGGCTTATTAGATTTGCAGTGATTTCGTGCATATATTTGCTTAAAAAAATTAACACATAGTGGGAAACTGTAGACAAAGGATCGATGAGAGAGAGAGAGAGAGAGAGAGAGAGAGAGAGAGAGAGAGAGAGAGAGAGAGAGAGAGAAGGAGAGAGAGAGAGAGAGATTCATGAAAATATAAATCCGGTTAATTTCCGTTTGTGAAGAATTCCTTTTTTTTATACCAAAGGAAATCAGCCATAATTTCCAGATACCGCCATACACCCAGCCTAGGCCGAATTCAGAGCGTCTTGCCAGATAATGCAATTGCCTCGCCAACGATAAGAAAATAATGGCAAACTAATCCAACTTCTCCCAGACCAAAATACTTGGTAAAAGCATTCGTCCAGGAGGATTTTAAAGTTCTTGCAGATAGTCGTAATTTGGTCCAAAGGAGAATGTAAAGATGTTAACGGCTTGGAAGATTAAAACCTTAGAAGAGAGAGAGAGAGAAAGAGAGAGAGAGAGAGAGAGAGAGAGAGAGAGAGAGAGAGAGAGAGAGAGAGAGAGAGAGAGAGAGAGAGAGAGAGAGAGAGAGAGAGAGAGAGGGGCGGGGGGGGGGTCTTATAAACAAACAAACAAACTAACCAACTAACTAGCTAACTAACTCATGCACACAAACGCCAGACACACACACACACACACACACAATATGCATGAGTGGCGAGAGCGTGGTAAACAGAGACAAATATTCGCTCAGGTGCCAGTCAGGGGTCTGCGTGCCTGTGTCTGTGCCTGGCGCTTTGGTTACTTCTTTTGTTTCCTGTCGTCAGGCAAAAATGTAGTTAGCATTGTTATTTATTGTCTTTATTTTTATATATAATGATAGATAAGCCTATCAACACACACAAACACACACACTCACTCGCTAACACACACACACACACACACACACAAAGCCTCGTAAAGTTTATCATTTTGTGTAATAATCAAAATAATACAATATGTTAACTAGCACAATTAGAGATAGTTTGTCTGGTCAGTCATAGCCGGTTTTAATAATAAGCAAAAATGTATTTTATATTTTCGACGCTTTAGGATAAGAATATGTATTAGGTTAAATAACTCAAAAGACATATTTATAGACGATGGATATGGTGACAGAGAAATAGCATTAGTAAAAAACTCGTTTATTCAGTAATTTTGGAAAGGTAAACAACTTGTGTGTTCATACGCGATGGAAAGTGCAAAGGATTTCTGTCAGCTCACCTTATCAATTCCCACGCATATTACAATAGATAGATAGATAGATATAGAGATTAAGAGAGAGAGAGAAAGAGAGAGAGAGAGAGAGAGAGAGAGAGAGAGAGAGAGAGAGAGAGAGAGAGAGAGAGAGAGAGAGAGAGAGAGAGAGAGAGAGAGAGAGAGAGAGAGAGAGAGAGAGAGAGAAAGAGATAGAGAGAGAAAGAGGGGAGAGAGAGAGAGAGAGAGAGAGAGAGAGAGAGAGAGAGAGAGGGAGAGAGAGAGAGAGAGAGAGAGAGATCATTCTGAATCCTCCTCGCCATTTTCTTCTAACTTCTTCCCTCCATCCCTTCTCCTCTCTTTCGCCCCTCTTCCTTCGACAAGATAATCTTTCTCTCTCTCCTCGTCCTCCGTCTCCCTGTCCTCTCTCGTCCCCTGTCACTCCTTCTCTCATTGTCTCCCTTCCTTTCTTCCCTCTATCCTCTGCCTCTTATTTACCTTCTTCACCTCCTTCTCTTCTTTTTAATTCTCCCTCTCCCTGTCTTTAATCCTTTCTTTTTTTTTCTTTTATCCTCTTCCTCTCTCTCATGTTCCTTCGTCGTAAAGCTAATCCTCCTTTCTCTCCTTTTTTAACCCTTTCTTCTCTCTCTCCCTCCCCATCCTTTCTCACCCCCCCCTTCTCATATCATCCCTCCCCCCCTCCCCCCTCCCCCTCACCAGCTCCTGCATGACGAAGTGGAGGTGGCCTTGTCCTCCCCTCCCCTTCTCCCTCCCTCCCTCTCCCTCTCCCTCCCTCCCCCTCCCCTCCCTTCCCCCTTCCCCTCCTCCTCTTCCTCCCCCTCCCCCTCCCCTCCCCCTCCCCCTCACCTGCTCCTGGAGGACGAAGTGGAGGTGGCCGTCGATGACGCGGCAGAGGCACAGCTTCTCCTTGTCCTCCCCCCCTTTCTGCCTCCCTCCCTCCCCCCCCCTCCCCCTCACCTGCTCCTGGAGGACGAAGTGGAGGTGGCCGTCGATGACGCGGCAGAGGCACAGCTTCTCCTTGTCCTCCCCTCCCTTTCCCCCCCCCCCCCCCCCCCCCCCTCCCCTCCTCCTCTTCCTCCCCCTCCCCCTCCCCCTCCCCCTCCCCCTCACCTGCTCCTGGAGGACGAAGTGGAGGTGGCCGTCGATGACGCGGCAGAGGCACAGCTTCTCCTTGTCCTCCCCTCCCTTTCCCCCTCCCTCCCCCCTCCCCCTCCCCCTTCCCCTCCTCCTCTCCCTCCCTCTCCCTCTCCCTCCCTCCCCCCTCCCCCTCACCTGCTCCTGGAGGACGAAGTGGAGGTGGCCGTCGATGACGCGGCAGAGGCACAGCTTCTCCTTGTCCTCCCCCCCTTTCTCCCTCCCCTCCCCTCCCCCTCCCCTCCCCCTTCCCCTCACCTGCTCCTGGAGGACGAAGTGGAGGTGGCCGTCGATGACGCGGCAGAGGCACAGCTTCTCCTTGTCCTCCCCTCCCTTTCCCCCTCCCTCCCCCTCCCCCTTCCCCTCCTCCTCTTCCTGCCCCTCCCCCTCCCCCTCCCCCTCCCCCTCCCCCTCACCTGCTCCTGGAGGACGAAGTGGAGGTGGCCGTCGATGACGCGGCAGAGGCACAGCTTCTCCAGGGCGCTGATGTTGTTCCGCAGGTCCATGCTCTCGCAGA